AAGGGGGAAGGACGGGAAGCGGACAAGGGGCAAGGAGGGTCAAGGGGAGAAGGAGGTGAGGGGCAAAGGGGAGCAGGAAGGGAAGGGCAAGGGAGGGACAATGGGGAGATGACAAGGGGAGAGGGAGGGGAGGGGCAAGGGGGAGTGTGAGGGGCAAAGGCGAGGACAGGAGGAGCGACACACACAGAGAAATGGTTAAGGGGAGGGACAGAGGGAGGGGGGAGGAACACAGAGTGGGAGGGGTGGGTGAGGAGGAGTGAGGCAAAGGAGAAAGGACAGGAGAAAGGTCAGAAGACAGAGTGTCAGAGGGTGAGGGACAAAGAGGGGAGGAAGGGGCCACAGGTGGGAGGGACAACAGTGGGGAGGGAGAGGGGCAGGGAAGGGCAAGGAGAAGGGAGAGGCACAGAAGGGAGGGACAAAGAGGGGATGGAGGGGGGGGGCAAACGGGCAAGGAGAATGGGGAGGAACAGAGGGAAGGGGGAAGGTGGGAGGCCAGCAGTGGTGAGGGGAGCTGAGTAGGGAGGGGCAGAGCAGTGGAAAAGGCACAAGTCTGACATGGTCAGAGTGGCACCACCAGGGACATCTCATCTGCCCCTGCCCACACAGGGTCACCAGGAGAACCTGGCACAGGCTGCATCCAAGTGGGTTTGGGAGATCTCCAGAAAAGGAGATTCCACAGCCTCCCTGGGCAGCCTGTGCCAGGGCTCTGCCACCCTCACTGCCAAGAAATTTCCTTCAAATCCTGCAGAACTTTTGGGGGCACTTCATTGGGCACGCGTTTCCTCTCGGCCTGCTGGTGGCCAGCACTGAAAAGAGGTTGCCCCCATGGATGTATCGACCCAGCCTTATGATGTCTCCACTCAGCCTTTCCCCACAGGCTGATGTTCCAGGCCCCTGCTTGATCCCACTGGCCTCCTTGCCCATCATGGCACACTGCTGGGTCACAGTTATCTTGTTGCCCGCCGGGACACCATCTCCACGGAGCTGCTCTCCAGCAAGTCAACCCCTATGCTGTACTGGTGCCTGAGRTTATTCCTCCCCATCTGCAGGGCTGTGATTTGCCCTTCTGGAAGTTCATGAGGTTTATCCTCGCCCAATTGTCCAGGTCCCGCTGGGTGGCGGCGCAGTCATCTGTGCCATCAGCTACTCCTCCCACTTTCATGTCATCAACAAACTTCCTGAGGGAGGCACCCTGTCCCTGCACGCAGGTCCTTGATGATAACTTGAATAGGTCTGGCCTGACCCACAGAGCACAACGCTAACCAGAGGCCACCAACTGGACTCTGCACTCCTGATATCCACTCTGGGCTCTGCAGCCACTTCTCAATCCAACTCACTGTCCAGAGGCCAGGCAGA